GACAACCAAATGTCTCACGACATTGCCATGTGTCCCCTGGGGGCAAAATCACCCACAGCTGTTAATCACTGCTATAGATACACTTCCTCAAAGATTAGCATCACTTCTGAACTATGTTTTTCTTCTTCTAAATAAAAATCAAAATATCCTTGACCACACAAAGTGAAAACCATACCAACAAAGACAAGCATTTTTCTGTAAAGATACCAAAAGAATAGCTTCTGACAAGGGTCCACACATTTATTGTTACCATTGCAAATAACAAAACAGAAAATGACAGGTAAACGGACAGAACACATCTGCTTCTTGCTCAACTTAATAGGAAAGCACCTGCAATCTCATCTCTCTCCCATCTCTCAGTAGCATCTGGGATCTCACTGACATGCCAATATCTGATCCTGGGAAAGTCATCTGCTGAGCTACTGCCCAGGGTTGGAGCTGGGACACTTCAGGTGTTACTTCAACACAAACTGGTAACACAGGTACACATACAAGGAAACAGCACGGGTGCAACTAAATTTCAAGGTCCATTAGCAGCACAAAGGGGGAAAACTGCACTTCCAAATGCAAGCCCTAGAACTCAACAGGGACATTTTTCATTTTCAACTTTCAAATGGTGGTAATAATAATAATAATAATAATAATAACAACAATAGTTGCTGTTTTTAAGAGCAGCTTCCAAATTCAAATACATTGCACTTCAACCCCAAATACTGGAAAGTGTTCCATATTGCTACTGACTTTGGAAAAAATGCAGGGTTGCCGAAGTTCAATTTGGACTAAATACCAGGAAACAGTCGCTTGAGTTATACCTGTACCTTTGATTTTGTGATTCTGCTTCCCAAGTGACCTCGCAATTATTAAGTCATCACAACACTACGTGGATGCTATCATTATGGTTTTGGCTTTTAGGGAACAGTCAACACTGACCAGTTATTCAGCTGATGTTGGATGACAACTCAATATTGAGAGTATAAATAAATGTGTACACATGCACATTTATTAGAGGCTGCACAATGTTGTTGTCCTCTAAAATATCACAATGTAGAATTGTAACTATCACATCCTATGAAGCCTCCACATTCCAGAACCATCAATAGGAAGTTCAGTCCTGACCAACAAAAAAGGCAGTCCTACTCTTAGGTGGTGTCTGCTAAGGTCTGAGAACTATGGAAATGAAATACCAAGTCCGACTTCCAGGCAAACCACCACAAATGTAAATGGAGAAGACGAACCGTAAGAAACTCCTCTGGGTGATGAAACCAAATGCTGTTCCCTCCGATAGAAACCAATCCATGTGAGCAATATTTACTGAATTATCCTCAACAGGTAAGGCTACAATTCAAGACACTATGGGCAGAACAAAGATAAATCAGATACTGTCTCAGTCCTTAGAAGGCAAGCACTTTCATTATCAGATATGTACACTTTTTACCTTTTCCCCATTTCAGGTAGATGGCAAAGAACCACAGATCCAATCCTATTCACTCCACGTCCTCATTTAAGATCACAAAACTGAAGACAGAATGGGTCTTTCTCAAACTGAAAGCAGCATTCTAAAAGGAGAGAATTTTGACGAAGGCCTTTCAAACCCTTTCAGAAAGTAAATACAGAGAAATTTATTTACTGTGTGATTGGTGGAAGGGTGGGGATTTTAAAAATCCACTTTTTCATTCCTTTGAGTCCCCTTTCTCTCCAATAAGACAAACAGAGCTCAAAAATCCAGTTCAATCTGATTTCTTGATTTTAATAAAGTTCATTTCCAACTAGATTTCTCTAGGGGCAAATTTACTTTCACATTAAAAAAATCCCTCAGTGATAAATTTGTGAAGATAAGCCATACTGGATAAAAGCTACACAGCACACAGCTAGAGACAGAAAATGAGACACACACACACACACACACACACACACACACACACACACACAGAGCCATCCCTTTAAAGAAAATAAATTTAAATTTAGGGAATCCTTCTTCAATTGCTATGGTACCCAATTTAGAGACAGTTTATAGCCAACCAGAAGATATATCAGCAAGCAATAAGACACAACAATAAGCAATCAGAAACATCAGTGAGCAATAAGACACCAGAGTCAGCAGTAAAGACACACCAGGGAGAACATTTCTGAGCAATTACCACATGTCTCCATTCAGGAAGGGAGAGAGAAAAACTTCACTCAGCAAGGACTGGAACCCCATAAAACTGAACTCCCACAACTCAGGTTGACAGAGGGGTCTGAAGACACCAGCATGGTCATGGATCAGAGAGAGGGCAGAAAAGCAAGGAAGGGCTGCCCATAAATGAGAACTGTTCACTTAAGTCCTCGTCCTTCTTTCTGGTACTCTATAGACATGGCAAACCGTTTTTTAAAAATATGTGGTTGACTGACAAGGTACAAAGGACTACCCACCTTCTGGGGGAAATGAAGAAGGCAGCCCAGCATATCTATATCCACTCTGACCAAGACAGTGTCTATGAAAGGGATGCCTCTGCAAGCATGCATGCGTGCGTGCACACGCACACACACACACACACGGACCAGCTTTTGCAAACATCAGCCTGAGAGCAGACCCTGAGACAGAGAAATCACCTGATGAGACAGATGATTAAATCTAGGAAACTGGCAGCTCTCTTCTAGGTAAGAAAATGGTAGCACCTTTTTACAGACGCATGCCTTTATGATAATTTACAAATGGAAGGAGAGATGGAGCTAACACTCAGAATCTCTTCTCTACATAGCACTAGCAGATCTTAAGCTGAGCTCAGGGGACTCCAGTACCAACAGTTACCCATTCCCAAGCACTTAAACTCAACAAAACCTATGAAAACACTTCTCAGAGGTGCTAAGAAGATTAAGTAAAATCATGTACACTGGAGGGTCAGGAAGAGGAACTTGTATTTACTGGACAGCTACTAAATGTTAGTTTCCTCTCCTTCCCTGCCTCCAAATTTTTTTCTGAGTCACCCCTACTTTATAGCAACTATGGTTTGTGTCGTTTTATGCATGTGTATTCTTTTCCTAATTACCCAGTAAAAATCATGATGGTATGGACTGTGTCCCACACATACCTGAAAGATGAAAAGACATGCAAATGAGGTTATTCATTAAATGTGTAACTCTAAATTTGCTCCGATTTCCCAAAAAGGAAAAAAAAAAAACCACACACAACACTCTGGTTCTTTAAGTTATTATTAAAAACACAACACCAGTGGCACATTTAGAGGAGTCCCACTCAGAGCCATTGGCTTAGAAAACATGATACTTGTTAAGCGGTAAACTAGCTCAATACATATGGCTGGTATGTTTCCAAATTTCATTTGAAAGAAGTAGTCACCAAGTCCTTCCCATTTCCTTCTTGGAGATGCACCCACTACCCTGTGCTCTGCAGCTTAAAGCCCAGGTAGCAGTCTCTGTGAGCCTTGCAACAAACAGGACAGTCAGAGGCAGCAAGATCCCACCTTGGGGGAAAGAATGACAGGAGATGTGTTCATAGGGGCCCACAAGCCACAGGACTTCAGAGGCAGTGGGGAACAGCAAAGTTAAAGGCAGAACACTCCATTCCATCTCCAGAAATACGACACCAAACAGTGATGAACCAGATAGAGCCTTTCCAGTAGCGTTTTCTACTGGGTACAAGGGTGGCAAGTGGAGACTGAAGAGGCATGGTTCCAGTTATTAATAAGCAGCTAAATACAGTGGGAGGTTCTCTTGTCTAATTACAGAAGCTGTTGGAAACTGCAAGGAAGACAGGATTTATGGCCTAGATGACACTGCCTCGGTGTTGTAATTAAAAGTTATTTTTAATAACTTTGGTTGGATACTTTGAATTATTAGAAATATATTTTGCAATTTAAAATTTGCTAAAGGGCAAAGAACATTAAAAAAGGTAATAACAACCAGCCTGCATAATGTAAAACAATTAAATGTTCTGACACTGCGAGGTGGGAAAGGAAAAGAATCTTTCCCACTTAAGTGTGTGAATTTTTACAAGCAAAAGGGAAAGGGAAATAAATAAGCTTAAAGTATATGAAATAAGATTTTTTTTAAAGCAGGAACTGATGTCAAAAGTAACCTAGTTATTTACTTTATCTATTAACCAGAGTTTGGGTACCACTCACCAAAAGTATAGACAGCTTGTTCACAACCATTCACCCAAACCACTGAATCCTAATCTTCAGGCTCTTCACTTTGTCCTGGTTCCCCAGAAAATCGTGGTCACCCTAACAAGAGCAGCCCTGGCTCAAGCACAAAGACCCAGAGGCTGACCTCAGAGCAGTGTGATGGTGGGGGACTTGGAGGGAGGGTTCTAATGTGAGCTGTAGGCAACAACATGCTGCATATAATTTGGGTGTTGTTTTTAGTCAATTTTCCTTCTCTCATCCAATATTCCAGTTTCCAGAAGGGGCAAAACAAAATGCCTTCCAGTGGGAACCGCATGGTGGTGTACATGAGTGGCTACAGAATCCGCCTAGGATTAGGCAGGGGCCATTTATCTCCTAAAAGCCATTTCCATAATTTCTATTTCTCCATATATACATAGGAGGCATTTTCTGCAATGGTGGCTCTTTTTTTTTTTTTTTTTTTTTTTTTAAAAACAACAGGGAGGAGAGAACCTATTATATGTAACAGACTCTCAAAATGTCTGATGGGAGTATGGAGGAGGAATGAACTCTAAAAGGCATGTGCTTCTCAAATAACCTCTATATTTCATTTAATCCATGCTATGAATCTTCTCTTTACAAGTGAATTCCAGCAGCTCATTAAGAGCAAATGTGTCACAGAAACTACCAAATATTATGCATCATGATAAAACTATAAAAAGCATTTTAACATCTGCTATTAAAAAATAAATTTAGACTTCTCTTTACAATGGACATGCCAAGTTTATAGAATTTATATTATGTGGGTTCCAGTAAGAACCACTGCTCTCCTTTATTCTCTTCTTGGTCCAAAGCAGGGTGTGACTCCATATCAGGGCAGAGAATTGCTATTTTTACCTGCCACATTAATTTTCTCAAGTGCAACCAAGCTGGGAACAGCTGTGGTGGAGTTGGTTGAGTTTGTTCCGGTGCCATTGACAACAAGATTGTCCACCTTCGACTCCAACTTGCCAATGCGCTGCAAAATGTTATCTAATAACACAGCAAGGGTTTTCTTCAGATCTGTAAAAGAAAGTGCAGACAATTTTAAAATTCTATGGCCTCTGCATATCTGTCCGGCTTGCTCTCTCTTCATCATGGAGAATAAAACTTCTCAAATGTTTCTGAAGTGGTACAAAAGATCTGTCAAACCACATCTGAAAGATGACAAGGGCCATCTTCATCTGGCCCAGATCCTACTAAATACATCAGTCTGTTGCAGAATGCAAGTCTGACAATAAGTGACATGGTATAACTATTTCCAGCTACTTGGTCAACAGGGAAAACTCCTTGTTAGCATCCTGCTATAGCACTACATTGAATTCCTCCTTACAGCACCATAATTTCTCATACAAAGCATGACACCTCAAGGGTGCAGCAAGATCCCAAAGTAGCCTTTGGATCAAGTTCGTTATTTTTCGTGTTGCATACTCTAGTATGTCCCAGTTTTTTAAAAAGTGTTCAATTCTGTTAGTTACATACACTAACACTTCATAAAAGCTACAGCTCCAGATTTTCAGGTCTGCTACACAACCCAGAATTGACTATAATCAGATTTAGGAAATATTTAAAGTAAAGATTAGAGTCATTCATTTGCTCACAAGTATTTATTAAGCTACTACTATGTGCCACATATTATTCTAGATGCTGGGGATATACTCTCATGGTTCTTACATTTAAGAGTTGGTTCCCTTTCTCACACATCTGACTACACATTAAAGAGTACTGCACTTCTCTCTGGATAAATTACAGGAACTCCTTTACCCCTATGGATGCATTTACTATTTGTAGACAAGATATTCAAAGAAAAAAAAAAGATAAGCTTAGACTCTCTCCTCTAAAAATTCATAATCACAGAAAGATATACTGACTTGTATGTGTCAGAAAAGCAGATGGGTGACTGCATAACCATCCATGGAAATAGCATCCAGACCCATTTCTGAATTGGGTGTGGGCCAGGGGAAAAGTGCAGAGTGTGGGTAGCAGGACTGAGAAAAGCCCTGAGTTAAGACAAACGGGAAGTTGCAACCTTCCTTTCTCCTGGAAAATAGCAAACTTGTCCCTGAGCAGATGCAGTGATCTGACCATGAAATAAACACACGTGGTCACATAAACAGCACAGATCACAGCCAGCGAACCTCGTCAAAGGTGCACCAGCCTGTTCCATTATGCCCAGTGAACCAGAAGCAGATGCTGGTGCTGTGCTTCTTGTACAGTGGCAGAATCTTGAGCCAAATAAATCTCTTTTCTTTATAAATTACCCAGGCTCAGGTATTTTTCATAGCAATGCAAAATGGACAACTGTTTTATCTTCACATCCTCCCCATGAGGTAGATGTGACTCCATTTTACAGATAAGAAAACTGAGGTTCATAGATATTAAATAAGAAGCTAATAAAATGAGGGCTTGCCTCAGGACTGTTTAATTCCCTGATGTCTCAATGGGACCAATCAGAAGTCAAGAACCTGGGTAGAAAAAATAAACCAAGGGTGAAGTTCAGAGTCTTTCATCCATAACACAGTGGTTAAGGGCCTGACTTTGGAGCCAGAGTTCCTAGGTTTCAGTCCCACCTCTGGCTTTCCTGTTTCCTTATCTGTAAAAGAGTGACATGAACAACACTTCAGCTTTGGGGTTGTGGAGAGGAGTTAATGAGTTAATATTTATAAAATGTTTTGAATACTGGCTGGCACATAATAAGCACTGCATAACCGCCTGTTAAATATATAAGTAAAATAAAGCCTTTCAGTGGAAAATGTTCTCATCCTTCCCAAAGAAATCTCTCCTCAGGTGATGCAAAGCTTTATTGCTTTATCCAAAGGGTCATGAGAGCACTCTCCTCTGCGGTCTGCAGTCCTACGGTCGGCATGACTCAGTCTGTCACAGGCACATCATTAGTTGGCACAGACAGCAGGAGTCGGTCACCTGTTCTGTCACTGAGTCTAATGCATCAACTGGCTCTCCAGAGTTCTGAAGAGTGCCAGAGGCCAGCCACGCAGAAGGGGGCAGTCGTGCCAGCGAGAAGGGGCAATGTTCAGTATAAAGAAATACTCCTCAGTATTTCTTTTCATTTCAGCCTCTTTGCCTAGAGCCTGTGTCATCAAGCCAGCTAGAATCCGAATACGATCTAGATAGCATTTAACTATCACCAGTAATTGTAGTTGGCCAAGCACAGAAGCCCTGGCCCTCTAGTGTGACTTAACTCAGGATTTCTCAACCTCAGCACTACTGACACTTTGGGCCGGGTAATTCTTTGTCGTGGTAACTGTCCTTGCATTGTAGGATGTTTAGCAGCATCCCTGGTCTCTACTCCCTGAATGACAGCAGCAATTCTCCAGGTGTGGCAATCAAAAACGTCTGCAGACACTGCCAAATATCCCTTGGAGGGACAAAACTGCCCTCATTTGAGAACCGCTGAATTAGGTGCATTCTCTCAAACCCTCTGTATTCCCCACTGCCCTCTGTGAAGACATGGAGAGAGAACTGTGATAGAGGGGTTACAGGAAAGGAAATGCCCACTGAATGAACCTGCATCATGTGTGACTTCCATTCACCGGAGGGACTGCTACAAATACAACGGAAAGTTGCAGTGAGGGAAGTCTGCCTTCCTCCCTAAGGGAGAGCTAACAGAACATGAGCCAATGCTGATGGGCTCTCAACAGACTACTGGACACAGTCCTCAATCCATTGTTACTGGTGATAGTCATTAGTGGAGCATACTCTAGGTAGGATACGAAGTTGTCACACTTATAATTAAGAAGATATTCTCCCTCAGTTCTCAAATTACAGTGACTAGTAAATACGACTGACCTACTATTTCTTGTTGACCCCATCTGCCAAAGATTGACCTTCTGTGACTGTGTCACATGGAGTGTAAAAGGGGATTCATGATGAGGAGGAGGGATCACCATCACCACAGCCACCCTGATATCACCTCCTCTACTTACTTAACTTTCTATATGCCAGGCAGTGTGCTGAGCACTTTAAATGAACTAATTCATTTAATCCTACCAAGACAATCTGAGGAGCATATGATCATCCCTATGCCCCTCTTACAAATAAATCACAGCACAGAGAGGCTAAATAATTTAGCAGAGGTGATTACAGACCCAGGACTCAAACCCAGTCTGGTTCCAGGGCTGATGGCTCTTACCCACTATGCTGCACTGCCTCTTAAGAACTACAACGGACCTGTCCACCAGCAAGCATCTCTGACTTGCTTCCCCTGAATCTACTTGTTAGAGAATAACCTCTGGGATTTTGCCATGTGTTCGTGGGAAAACATATACCAACCACTCTTAAGACTCACTCATGCCCCTGTCCTGTGGCAACTCTGGTCACCTGACCCAGTATCACTAAACATCCACCAACTGACACTGGCAACTACCAAATACATCAAGTGATCCAAGATTTTTTTAAAATTAAGACTCTTTCTATATCTTCTCCCTTAAAATGAAGATGGAATATAAGGCTACTAAAAACCTTGAATTCTCTAAGCACTTTACCTGGGGAGGCATGTTTTCTCTCCCAATATGAAAGAAAAAAGTTCATTTTTAACTCAAGCAGCTACCCAAGTCACCATTTCAAAGCAGCCAACCCAAGATTAAGGATGTTGTTCATAAAAAACAATGACAGAGATGACGCCAAGCCCTTATCTGTATCATTATACAGTGCTTGGCACATTAAGTATGTGTTATGTAAGTAAACAAATGAATGAATGAAACAAACTATAGTACTCTCACAAATAAGGCTCAATAAATTATACGTTTCCAGGCAATGAAATTATTTTGCACCTTGTATTTTACTGTTAAACCTCCAAAAACTGTTAACAGTTTTATCACAATTTTAAAGAAATAACAGGCTGACATGATGGCTCATGTCTGTAATCCCAGCACTTTGGGAGACCGAGACAGGTGGATCACCTGAGGTCAGGAGTTCGAGACCAACCTGGCCAACACGGTGAAACCCCGTCTCTACTAAAAATACAAAAATTAGCTGGGCGTGGTGGCATGTGCCTGTAGTCCCAGCTACTCGGAAAGCCGAGGCAGGAGAATCACTTGAACCCGGGTGGCGGAGGCTGCAGTGAACGAAGATCGTACTGCTACACTCCAGCCTGGGTAACACAGCCAGAGTAATACTCCATCTAACATAACATAACATAACATAACATAACATAACATAACATAACATAACACAAAACAGTTTTTTTGTGTTTTAATCTTTTTTTTTTTTTTTTTTTGAGATGGAGTCTTGTTCTGTGGCCAAGGGTAGAGTGCAGTGGCACAATCTCAGCTCACTGCAACCTCCGTCTCCTGGGTTCAAGCGATTCTCCTGCCTCAGCCTCCTGAGTAGGTGGGATTACAGGCACCACCACGCCCAGCTAATTTTTGTAGTTTTAGTAGAGACGGGGTTTCACCATGTTGGTCAGGCTGGTCTCGAACTCCTGACCTCATGATCCACCCGCCTCAGCCTCCCACAGTGCTTGGATTACAGGTGTGAGTCGCCGCGCCGGTCTGTTTGTGTTTTAATCCTAATGGTAACCCTTTCATTCACTACAACTGTACAAAGAATTTCTATAGTTTAATAAAAATGAAAGAACAATATTACTCCAAATTCTTGTATAATATTTTAATATTTCATTGTGTCTTATAGTTATTATAGCCATAAAATGAGTCCTCAGCAAGATTATCATTTTCAATTACTAATGAGCTTTTAAAATTTTGTTTGTGGTTCAAAGCCTTCACAATAAAAATTTAATCCCAACATTACTACTGCAATTCTGCATTCCTAAAACTTACTGTACATGATGAAGATGAGATCAAAGTAGTTGAAAAACATTTAAAATGTCTCTCTAGGGAAAGCAGGCTTTGGTTTCTATCATGCTGGCATTCTTTGATAAATGGTAAGGTCGATTAAACTGCACTGGAACAGGTTATTTGACAGCTTCTGTTAAGTTTTCATTTCCAGGAAGCCATGGCATTAATGGGTAAGAAGTGACTGGAAGGGGCTGACAGACACATCCTTGA